CAAAAGTGTTCAGGATAACGCCACAGATGAATACTATATTGTTTATGAGAACTACTCAAGAAGTTTAAGAGCCCATGTCAACAATTTGAAGAACCAGCCTAGAGTTTCAAATTGTTGACATGGTTCTTAAACTTCTTGAGTAGTTCTCATAAACAACATAGTATTCATCTGTGGCATTATCCTAGACACTTTTGTGTCCGTGAAATGACCGTAACAGGCTTTGATGAGTTATGGAAAGTGAGCTAGACATCACAATCTCAAATGAAGAAAGATTTCGTTCAAATGCCTTTAGAGCTGGATGACTTCATTCATACCTTGTCAAGATGGTTGTTTACATTACCATTTATTTAAATTTATTTATAAGTGATTTTGTTAACATTTGTTATTTTGTTTGACAAGTACACCGATGAGAACTTGGTTTCATAACCATTGTTGCCTGTAGGAATCAGAGGAAAGATTGACCTTCATGAGAAATGTTTGGGACAGATGGCATTTCCTAGACTTGATAAGCAAAGGTACAACTCGACTGTGGCAAAAATACGTCTGCAATGGTATGCGGCTAGCCACTACATTTGGAATAATTTTATTCCAAAACCCAACTCGTTGAATGATGTATATAGCTATTGTCATTGTGGTAATATTCCTGAGGAACTTGTTCGCTTTGTAAGAAATGTGGTCACCCATATTGGAAATTATTCAAAGAATGTAAGTTGTTAATTATTTTTTAATTTAGTTAATACTGCTTAAAACAATTATTATAATTGTTTGTCAATAATACTTAATATATTTTTTTGAATAGGGCAAGCTAATCAACCATACAAAAGTTGATGGATTGATATCAACTACATTTCTTATGTTGATGGTGGAACTACAAAAGTGTCTGTATTTTGAAGGATTTGAACATAAAGATTTCATGAGATGTTAAATTGATTTTATGTAGCTCTTCATGTAGGAATGTATGCCTACTATTGTAATGAACTTCTTTTATGAATGGATATGAATGATCAGTGTTAATCATCAATTACAAGAATTCAATATTTTACACTCACTTACTGGTAAATTGATGTTAACTACCTTTCCTATGTTGAAGGTGGAACTACAAGAAGTGTTTGTATTTTGAAGGATTTGCACATGAAAATTTCATGAGAAGTTATATTGATTTTCTATAGCTCTTCGTGTAGGAATGTATGCCCACGATTATAATCAACTTCTTTTATAAATGGATGTGAATGATCAGTGTTAATCATCAATTGCAAGAATTCAACATTTTACATTCACTTACTAGTAGTGGCATCAAATTATTCTTATGCCCAATCTTCATCTTTTTTGTTCACAAGACCATAAAATGATATACACTACTGGAAGGAAAATGGACATTCTTCAATTCTTGACTTAAACATAATGGGTATTATTTAATAGTCTTGTAATATCAAAATTTTATAGTTAAAAATATATTTTTTCTATCTATCTTAGTTATCTTATCTAATTGAAAAACAGAAGATGATTGGATATTGAACCTGACACTTTGATGATAAAACAACTTGTGTTGGGTGAGTTAGATACACATCATCAGCTTCGCACATGGCTCAGATAGGATCACCAATGTTTAGTTATATCTTTAGTCATATCTATTGAGAAGCAAATTCATATACGAATGCCTTTGCAAACTTGGAACTTTTGCGGGATGAAGATTTTCATGTTTTTACTTTCCCTTCTTTATGTATTGCTAAATTGTTACTTGATGACACATTAGAGGAATCACGCATCCCTCGTTTGTACTGCAATGTTTCTCCTATTTAATGAATGAATGCCCATCTTTACCCTAAAAAAAATAAATAAATAAAAGATGATTTGTGTTTTTGCTGTTCTTTTATTTATTGAATGAATCGCACAATCACATTAGTAATATTACATGATATACTACAATTATCTAATAATTTTTTAAACATAATAGCTATGATCATCCGGGACCATTTAGACAATGCATTCTATATTTAGAAATTCTAGGGACAACAAAAATTCTATCTCGATTTTTGTAACAACACTACTCACTGTTAGACAAACAAATAAAAACAAACAGACACAAATATTTCACTTTTTATTTAAAGAATACAACTTAAAGATATGTACGTGTACATAAAAATATTAAAAAAATTATTGTGTAGTCTAAATTTAACTCGTATACTGTGTGACCTGCATTTAAAATGAATTAAATCGAGCTACACAATGATTTTATTGGTATATTGATATACATGAGTTATATACCTAAATAATGAGAACCATGTGTTACCTTCCACACTTGGCACACCAAGTCCAACCACCTCATCCAACACATGCAATTGTGACTAAAATAATATAAGAAACCCACCTCTTAAATACCACCAAGGATTCTCTAGAGTATTTTTTTCCTAAAGTTTCCTAAAGTGGTGTATTGTGTGGTTGAGATTTAATGCTGAAAAATTGATGTGACTTGTCATTAAAGTTTCCTAAAGTGGTGTATTGTGTGGTTGAGATTTAATGCTGAAAAATTGATATAACTTGTCATTAAATCTCAACCACACAATGCACTACTCTAGGAAACTTTAGGGAAAAAAAACTCTAGAGGATCCTTGCTCCTTAAATACCTCTATGCTCATAGACCTAAAGCAATAATTATTAATTAAAGAAAAACGAGTACAAGAGTAGAAGGAAAAAAATAAAAAAGAAAGAAACTTACTGCACCACCACCTTCTCTCAACGTGATGAAGTGTAAATATGAGGTGGAGATGGTATGAGGTGGGTAGGATGGTAAGGGGTGGGTAATGGTGGCCGTGAAAGATGGAAATGAGAATGATGGTGGCAGTAGTTGGGTTGTTGATCTTGAGAAAGATGAGAAAAAGAGTGTAATAGAGTTAGAGCAATATTGTAATATCAACTTTTTAGTTTTTGGTATTTTGGTCATTGTATATTTTTTGTTTATTTGTTGGACACCCCACTCTTTATTTTTATTTTTTTGAAATACAATTCTATCCCTAAATAAAATTACCAAAAAAACCCAATTCAAAACCCTAACCCCCACCCAACCTAGTTCCGGTGCCACCGCCGCAACAATCACCGACAGCACCACAACTCCCCCTCTTCACCATTCTCCGACTCCCATTGCCACTTCCCAGCCTTTTCCCACCTCCCGCTGCCAACCCCAGCCCCTTTCCAGTTCATCATCAGCCCCTAAACCCTATTTTTACCAACCTGCAAGCAGCCACTTCCCTCCCTTCTTCTTCTTCTTCTTCTTCTTCTTCTTCTTCTTCTTCTTCTTCTTCTTCTTCTTCTTCCTCCTCTCCTCCTCTACCATCGCAATCCATTCCTTATCCTCCCTGCCCTCTTTTGAATTTTTCTGATTGGGGGTGAAATAGGAATAGACGACGATGACTACTACCACCACGACAAGCCAACTGCGCATCATTCTAAAATGGTTTGTCTGTTTCATCTTCTTCTTCTTCTTCGTCTTCTTCTTCTTCTTCTTCTTCCTCTCCTCCTCTACCATCGCAATCCATTCCTTATCCTCCCTGCCCTCTTTTGAATTTTTCTGATTGGGGGTGAAATAGGAATAGACGACGATGACTACTACCACCACAACAAGCCAACTGTGCATCATTCTAAAATGGTTTGTCTGTTTCACAGGGAACTCCCATGAATAGTGGGAAGACATTTCCGGCTATCATCCCTGTTAATGAGATGATATATGTAATTTCAGAATTACCTACTTGGTACACTTATCTTGGTGAAGATACTACACTGTTTGAAGTTTTTGACCCCAATGCCAATGAAGGGAAAGGAAAATGGTCTTCTTTGTCAAACCCTCCATTCTATCCTAGTTCCTGTGATGATTATGGTTATGGGGCTTGGTATTGGTCTCATGTAAGCTAGACTATTTCTCATGCTGTCATCGAGTGTAACATCTTTTTCTAGAAAATATCACATGGGAGCGTTTTGATACATATAATCCAATCGGTGAGGTCCATTCTCCTTTCAGAAATGGAGCAATGTTGATATCTGATAAGTCATGGGCTGCCACAGGTGCTTACTCTGAATCTCCTGTATGCACTTCTGATCTCACAGCAAAATTTGGATTTGTTAGGAAGAATGTTGAAGATCTTGAGGCCATTAGATCTTCTAACCCAGATCTGGCTTATTATGTGATGGACTATCACCTACTTGACTCATCGAATGGATGGTATTGTCTTCTCCAATTCGGCATCGATGATGAACACTTTCGTAGAGGAAATCAATACATTTTTGCTTCTGTATTATGTTTGGTCAAAAAACGCATGGTTGATGTGTTTTTTAATGATGTATATCCTTGGCCATGTCACTGCAAACCGTTGACCAAAGATTCTTGTGACGTTGAAAAGAGTATAGGGAAGATTGAAGTATTTGGTGCTACAGACCTGCACAACTCTCTGTTTCCTATTGGGGCCAAACGCCTCATAACGTACCTAGTCGCTTGCTTCCCCATGTAAGTTGCTTCACCCCTTCATATTCTTTTGGTCTAGTCTTTATTTAAGTTGCTTTAGTTGCTTCAACCCCTTCATATCCACCTATGAAGCATGGATACTCCAAAATAGCCCCCCGTACGTGTATTGGACACGTATCGGATACGCATCCGATACACCAGAATACATATCAGATATGGTAAAGAAGTATCACAATTTTTTTTTTAATTTTTTGAATTTCAGATACGTGAGGATACTTGAAGGATACGCTTGGGATGATTTCGGAATACGGCAGTACAAAAAAATAATTTTAAAAACTTGTAATGAGAGAACATAAGAGAAATTAATAGATCTGAACCCAAGAAATTAACAGCAAGGTTTCGTATCGAACCAGACGAACAAAGCCCGAGCACTAATGGATCAGAACAAGCATCAAGAGTCTTCAAGATATGGAGGAAAATTAATTACGTGCAAAAATCGGGATGAAGAACAAGAAATTAATCTATTAGCAACAAATCTACTGCTTACCTCGATAGATCTTTCGATTTCGAGCCCAGCTTTGACCAAGATTCACCCATGGCCTAAGAAAGGATGTGTTTTGAACCACATATCTCTGAATTGAAGATCGAAAGCGAATCGCTCAACAACGATCTAACTTGATCTGGAGACAGAATTCAAAGCTGAGAAATCACCCATGGCCTAACTTGATCTGTCGTCTTCACCTTCTTTTTTCTTCCTCTTGTCTCCCTTGTTTTCTTCCTCCCTCTCTCTTGCTTTGGCCTCATTCGGGAACTCTTATTTTTAGCTAAAAAGGCAAAAAATTATTAAATTAGTCAAAAACTAATAATTCATACCAAAAAGTTAAAAATTCTCTTTTCTCTCTATTTTTTACATATTTTTTGTAAAAAAATAAAAAATTATCCCAAACATACTAATTTTTTTAACTCATATTTTAGTTATATAATCAAAAAATTACTAAATTAACCTATTACCGTTTCGTTTTCTTTTCTTTACCCGGATGTTTATTATAATATATATAAAATAGGTTTGTGGGCCCATCCACCACCATCTCACTAACCTCTAACAGTGCATTCACCTTCTGTTTCCCCTTGTTTTCTTCCTCCCTCTCTCTTGCTTTGCCCTCATTCGGGAACTCTTATTTTTAGCGGAAAAAAGTTATTAAATTAGTTAAAAATTAATAATTCATACTAAAAAGTTAAAAGAAAATTTTTCCCCCTAAATTTTTACACATTTTTTCGTAAAAAAATAAAAAATTATCCCAAACATACAAATATTTTTTTAGCTCATATTTTAGTTAAATAATCAAAAAAATTACTAAATTAACCTATTACCGTTTCGTTTTCTTTTCTTTACCTAGCAGATGAAAAGGATGTTTATTATAATATATATAAAATAGGTTTGTGGGCCCATCCACTACCATCTCACTAACCTCTAACAGTGCATTCACCTTCTGCCTCTTTCTATCATAATATTATATATAGGACAAATTACATGTACACCCCTCGAGGTTTGATTAAATTACAGATATTTCTGAGATTTCAAAAATTACATCCCGCCCCCTGAGATTTGTATTTTCATAACAATTTACCCCCTGAGATTTATATTTCATAACAAATTACCCCCTAATTTCTTATGCAAATATAACATTCAGGGGGGAATTCGTAATTTCTCAAACCTCAGGGATATTTGTAATTTAGCCAAACCTCAAAGGGTGTATATATAATTTGCCCTATTATATATATAATATTTTAATATTAAAATACGCTACACCAAATACGCTACACCAATAAAAAGAAATTTATATTGTGTTTATTAATTTTATTATTATTTTAATTTTATAAAAATTAATATTTGTTTCTTCAATGTTAATTTTATCATTTTTAATATTTTTGAAAGTTAAATTAAACCAAACTATTCATATTTTATATTTTTAAAAGTGAAGTCAAATCAAACCAAATTAATTATATTTTTTATTTTTAAAAATCAAATCAAACCAAACTAAATATATTTTTTTATTCAAAAATATTTTGAAAAGTTACTTACAAATTATAAAAATAATATTTTTTACGAACGTATTCTCGCCGTACCTATATACTAATTTTTCAAATTTCATCGTATCGCCGTATCCATATCGTATCGTACCCATGTCCGTGTCGTAGCGTACCCGTGTCCGTGTCCGTACTTCCTAGATATCCACAAATGGAAGCTAGCTATATGCGGTAGTTTTTGTTGGACTAGTCTCTATTTCCCATCTTCTTTTTCTCAGTTTTCACTTTGTTTGCCATACTAATTGACATTCCATCCAAAAGCTCTGCATAAAGAACACCCTGAAGGCGTCCAAGGATAATGAACATTATGACAGTGCTCTCTCTATCCACTTCTATTTCCAGGAATATTTAAGCCAAAGTTTTGTTCTATTTATTGTCATCACATTAGTAGATATAGGTCTTCCAACAACACTGGCAATATAGTTAAGGCCTTTTTCTATTTATAGTTTCAAGGAGATGTTATAAAATTGAGCCCATAGTTTCAAGGAGATGTTTTAATTTCAGTGACATCTTTTAGTGAAATTCATTAGTCATTACTTCCAACAATTGTTTGTATAGAGCGTGTTTCTTCCTATTTTTGCTGAATCAGGAGCAGGGAAGTCCCTTGCTTTATTCTGATTTTTCTAGGACAGCAGGGGATTGCTGCTCAAAAGTTGTGTGTTGGAACGGCAATGGCCTCACTTGGTCTAGGCACATTGGTTTCTTCAAAAACTTAGATTTTGAGTTGTTGACGTGTCAAATTTGCCAAACGGCATCGGATTAGCATGAAACTTGACACACATGACAAGCTAGGCACGAGAGACTTGTGGAAGAAGACTAGACTCGAATTGGGCTCTCGATTTGGGAGATAGAGCCAAATTTCGGTCTAGGCACACTAATTCATTAAGAAACTTAGAATTCGAATTGTTGACGCGCTAAAATCACCAAATGGCATCGGATTAGCACAAAACTTGGCACACACGACCACCAAGGCAAGAGGAAGTTGTAGGAAAAGATGGGACTCGAATCGGGTTCCTGGTTTGGGAGTTAGAGTCGAATTTTGGTCTAGGCACACTAGTTCCTTAAAAAACATAGAATTCGAGTTGTTGGCGTGCCAAAATCACCAAACGGCATCAGATTAGCACGACACTTGGCACACACAACAAACTAGGCATAAGAGACTTGTGGAAGAAGACGGAACTTGAATCAAGTTCTCGATTCGGGAGTTGGAGCCGGATTTTGGTTTAGGCACACTAGTTTCTTAAGAAACTTAATATATATTCAAGCTGTTGACAAGCCAAAATCGCCAAATGGCGTCAAATTAGCATGAAACTTGCCACACACAACCAACTTGGCACGAGAGACTTGTGGGAAAAGACGGGACTCAAATCGGGTTCCTAGTTTGGAAGTTAGAGCAGAATTTTGGTCTAAGCATACTAGTTTCTTAAGAAAGTTAAAATATATTTGAGGAGTTGATGAGCCAAAATACAAAATGACATCGGATTATCACGAAACTTGGCACACACGACCACCTAGGCACTAGAGACTAGTATGAAAAGATGGAACTTGAATCGGGGTTTCCGGTTTGGGAGTTAGAGCTAGATTTTGATTTAGGCATACTAGTTTTTTAAGGAACTTAATATATATTCAAGCTGTTGACGAGCAAAAATCACCAAACGACATCGGATTACCACGAAGCTTTGCACACACTACCATTTAGGCATGAGAGACTTGTCAGAGATGACGGGACTCAAATCGGGTTCCCAGTTTAGGAGTTAAAGTCAGATTTTTGTCTAGGCACACTTGTTCCTTAAGAAACTTAGAATTCGAACTGTTGACGTGGCAAAATCACCCAATGGCTTTGGATTAGTACGGAACTTGGCACACACGACCAACATGGCACTAGAGACTTGTGGAAGTAAACGGGAATCGAATTGGGTTCCCGGTTAGGGAGTTAGAGCTGTATTTTGGTCTAGGCATACTCATTTTCTTAAGAAACTTTGTATATATTCAAGCTGTTGATGAGCCAAAATCGCCAAACGGTGTCAGATTAGCACGAAACTTGGCACACACAACCAACTAGGCACGAGAGACTTATGGGAGAAGACAAGAGTCGAATCGGGTTCCCTGTTTAAGAGTTAGAGCTAGATTTTGGTCTAGGGATACTACTTTTCTTAAGAAACTAAATATACATATTCGAGCTGTTGATGAGCCAAAATCACCAAACAACGTTGGGATAGCAAGAAACTTGGCAGGCACGACTAACTAAGCACGAGAGACTTGTAGGAGTTAGAGCTGGATTTTGGTCTAGACATACTACTTTTCTTAACAAAATAAATATTCGAGCTATTAGAGAGCCAAAATTGCCAAACGACATTGGATTAGTATGAAACTTGGCACACGTGACCAACTAGGCACGAGAGACTTGCGGGAGAAGACGGGAGTCGAATCAAGTTCTCGGTTTAGGAGTCAGAGTTGGATTTTGGTCTAGGCATACTACTTTTCTTAAGAAACTTAATATATATTTGAGCTATTGACGAGCCAAAATCGCTAAATGGCATTGGATTAGCAAGCTAGATTTTGGTCTAGGCATACTACTTTTCTTAAGAAACTAAATATATATATTCGAGCTGTTGATGAGCCAAAATCACCAAACAACGTTGGGATAGCAAGAAACTTGGCAGGCATGACTAACTAAGCACGAGAGACTTGTAGGAGTTAGAGCTGGATTTTGGTCTAGACATACTACTTTTCTTAACAAAATAAATATTCGAGCTGTTAGAGAGCCAAAATTGCCAAACGACATTGGATTAGTATGAAACTTGGCACACGTGACCAACTAGGCACGAGAGACTTGCGGGAGAAGACGGGAGTCGAATCAAGTTCTCGGTTTAGGAGTCAGAGTTGGATTTTGGTCTAGGCATACTACTTTTCTTAAGAAACTTAATATATATTTGAGCTATTGACGAGCCAAAATCGCTAAATGGCATTGGATTAGCACGAAACTTGACACACGCGACCACCTAGGCATGAGAGACTTGTGGGAGAAGATGGGACTAGAATTGGGTTCCCAATTTGGGAGTTAGAGCCGGATTTTGGTCTAGGCATAATAGTTTCTAAAGAAACTTAAAATATATTTGAGGTGTTGATGAGTGAAAATCACAAAACGACCTTGGATTAGCAGGAACCTTGGCACACACAACCAACTTGGCACGAAAGACTTGTGGGAGAAGACTGGACTCGAATCAGGTTTCCAAATTGGGAGTTAGAGTCAAATTTTGGTCTAGGCACACTACTTTCTGAAAAAACTTAGAATTCTAGCTGTTGACACGCCAAAATCATCAAATGACGTTAGATTAGCACAAAACTTGGTACACATGACCAACTAGGCATGAGAGACTTGTGGGAGAAGACAGGACTCGAAACAGGTTGCCAATTAGGGATTTAGAGCCAAATTTTGGCCTAGGCATGCTACTTTTTTAAAGAAATTTAATATATATTCGAGCTATTGACGAGCCAAAATCGCCAAACGATGTCGAATTAGCACTAAACTTGGCACACAACCAACTACGCACGAAAGACTTTTGGGAGAATAAGGGACTCGAATCGGATTCCTAGTTTGGAAGTTAGAGCTGGATTTTGGTTTAGGCATACTAATTTTCTTAAGAAACTTCATATATTCAAGTTGTTGGCGAACCAAAATTGACAAACGGCATCGGATTAGCATGAAATTTGCCACACACGACCAA